CTTGACATCCATCATCCTCCTCTCCTGGAAATCTATTCAGATGCTCATTCCTGTCTTACCAAAGGACAGTTTCCACTGTTTCTCTGCAGTATTTTGGGCTGATCAGATTAGTTGAGCAGAAGCCTTAAATGGAAATTTGGGCATATCCTTTGCTAACTCCTACTCATCTTTCTGATTTCCATATCTTTTCACAGAGCTTCCTTTCATCTCAGCTCCCCACCCAGCTGGATGGCCATCCACTAACCCTGAGATATAGCTAGTTTGAATTGGTGGAAACTGTAATCTGACTGGTTCAGATCTCACTGGGTATCTATATATATAAAAGGTTAATATGCAAAGTGTCCCCTCGGTAGTTCAACCTGAAGACCAGAAGTTCAATCACTCGCTATAATGTGTGCTGACCTACAGGGAGAGGCATGGAACAAAGGAAGGCCCTGGCCAATAGCCAGAAGGCCCCAATTGGCCCTGATTGCCCGCCAGGCCTAGGGACCTTACCTGTGCATGAATTTCATGCACTGAGTCTCTAGTAAAGCATAAACAAAGATGCCAATCTGTGCTTTTCTTCACTGAGGACTTGCTTTCCTAGCATATCCCCCAAAGTTATTCCAGATGTAGCCGATTTTCCTCACAAACAGGATTCTCACCTTCAGAATGATCAAGTTACCCTTCTCTTGCCTTTTCCACTGTTGAAAGCAATCCAGCTGTCTCTACGGATAAAAATGAAAACAAACATAAAAATAAGCCACCCTTACATTGCAAAGAGTGGAGAAAATTGGCCATATTAAAAATTTCCAACAGATGGTGAGCCAATTTATATTTTTATTTTGACATTTACTTGCCCAGTAGGAGTACAATTGAGCCATATTTTTAAGCTCATTCAAAGTGGCCTTTATCTGAAAATGTTGGACACATATGTATAGATAGTGCTTTCCACCAATCAACACAATGTAATGACCCTGGAATGCTAGTTCTCTCTCCCCTAACCAAGAGCCACTCAGGATAGGAATCTTCTCCCTGAAAACTTTGGCCTCCTACTGTCCCCCTTTCCTTCCATCATTCCTCACTCAAGGCCATTTTCCACAGGGCTGGCAGAGGAATCTTCCTGTAATCTAAATTTGATCATGCCAGCTCCTTGCTTAAAATCAACCTTTCAATCACTCCAAATGGCCCCCAGAATTAAGTTAAAACTTTAGTAGTAGCCCTGAACAGTGTGGCTCAGTTGGTTGGGCATCCTCCTGTGCACCAAAAGGTCACAGGTTCAATTCTGGACAAAAGACATGTCCAGGTTTCCAGCTCCATTCCTAGTACAGGGTGTGCAGGAAGCAGCTGATCCATGAATCTCTCTCATATTAATATTCCTTCCCTCTCCCTTCCACTTTCTCTAAAATCAACTATAAAAAATTAAAGTATCAGTATATTGGAATCATCTAGGGCAGTGGTCAGCAAACTGAGGCTCTGTGACTAATGAGTTTGCTGACCACTGTATATACTAAACTTTACCTCTTTGCACACACAATATGCCACAATAGCCTAATCCTCACAGCTTCCAACTATACGGTAACTTTAGTCTAGTCCAGTGGTCGGCAAACTCATTAGTCAACAGAGCGGCAAACCGTGGCCACTGATATAGGGAATTAAGAAAAAGCACTGATGGCTGGGCCCTACCCCAGAGATCCTTACTTAATTGGCATTGGGTATAGGTATTTGTAGAAACTACTAGGTGATTCTATGTGAAACAAAATTCTAGTATTAGCATGCTACCAAAATTGTGCTTGATCTGACCTGCTCACTCCTCCCTTCCTCAGTCCTGGTCTCTCCTCCCCTGCACACTCTGCAGTTGAGTCATGCTAAGCCATGTGTCATCCCAAAGCGTGCCTCTCCCACTCCCACTGTCAGGTGTTTGTATTCATGCTCACTCGGTCTCAAAAACCTTCTTCACTTCCTTCATGCCTCCCTTTTCATCTTGACTCCATTTAGTTGCAATCCAGTTATGCTAGTTTATCACACTAAACTATAGCCAATAACAACTCTGCCTGAATGCTATGGCTTCACAGATTATTCTCATGCTTGCACATAATTTTCAGGCTTACTGAAGATATTCCATCTCACACATTTTCCCATGTTGTTCAATAAAAAGCACATATTAAAATTCTGCTACAATACAATCTTCTAAAAAGACAACTGAAAAAGAGACAAACATTTTTCCTCGATTGCTGAAAACCATCTAACCACGAGTGAATGATGCTTTTCCACATATGATGGAATTTTCCATTAACGTGTCTTACTGATTCTGGCCATATCCACGTGTGTTCTGGTCATGCCCTGTCACACACACTCCACCCCTGAAAAAGCAATCCCTAAACTTGATGAGCTCTGTTTCCATTTTTTGCTCCCTGAGTGAGAAAATGATAATATATATGAGCTGCTTATTGCACAACACAGAATTATAAATTTGGTTTTAAAGGAGGAGGTAATGGTGGCAGAGAATATGCAGCTATTGTGGGATTCACCTGAGATTGCATAGTGTTTGCAGAATAGTCAAAAATAAAAGTCCTAACTTTGGATCCTGTTTTCCATTCAGAGGTCCTCCCAGTTTGGGGAAATAAGAACAAGAATTCATTCTTTGTTTCTAAAAGCTGATAGCCTTGAAGGATGAGTTCCATAGCAATGAGCCCCCAACTGGGATGGCCAGCAGCCCTTCCAAGTTCAGATGGAGTTGAAGGGCAATTTGTTTCCATTATACTTGCTATGGGGACATCTTTGGGTTCATTTTGCCTTTCTACTTCCTCCTCTAGCCGAGTGTCACTTGCCTGGGATAGCTTTTAAGTGATTTACTTTATGGATGTTTTCTGTAGAGCACTACACCTTCCCTTTGAGTTCTAAATTTAATTTTAGTAATTGGTTCGAATTTCATGTTACTTTTAAATGAGAACTCTTGTCATCACATCACCCATCACTTTGTCCATATGAGTGTATCTATTATTCATCTCACCAATTTATTGGCCTCGTTGTTAACTGCTATCCATTTTTTATCATTTTACTGTCAAATAAAATTAACTCTCATCGCTTTCTTAATCAAGAAATTTTTATACGAATTTATTGAATGACTTGTAAATCTAATCATTTTACACAAAGTTTAGAAAACTTGGGCAAAACGAAATTAAATGTCTTAGTGTTTCTTATTGCTTCAGTGTTCTGGAACAAAATGGCCCCTGCGTGGTTGATATAATTAATTTGACAATTAACTTAGGCATAGGCCGTTGGGAGCTGGGTTACACTCAGCAAGTTATATAACCAGTGTGAGCTTCAGTGTCAAACATAGTCCTTGGGAGCAGGAAATGAGGTGACACCCGATGTAGGACCGTCTTATTCTTCTCCAGCCCTCCTTCCCTTGCTTTTTCAACAAGTATTTCAGGTAGAGTTCCAGATGATAATGCCACAAACACAGTCCTTAGTCTCCTGTCTCTCAAAGAAAAAAAATAGAATAGAAAGAAATGAACTAGAAGTAAATGATGAACCCTCATGGTTTTAAAAAATATGTGCCTATATGAATCCTGTATGTGTGTTAATAATATACTAGTATGGCTTTGTGTGACCCAGGCATGACACTGATTTCATAGAAGATGACAGGGCAACTGTTAATCTGCAATTGCTCCTCATTCCTCACTATTGATTACCAAATTTGGAATTGGAATGGAGTTCTAACCATTATCACAAGAAACTCAAATATAGGAAGGTGCACTCTCCCTGATGGCCTGTTATTTAGTTCCACTGACAGCAGATTAGTCATGAAACCCCTAGGAGGATGCTTTCCACTGAGCATCAGACTCGGGAACGTCTCAGCTGTTTTTACAAACAAGCTAACCTGACGGAAGTTCATTTTCAGTCGAAGAATCTCATGCCACAATCATTTTAATTGTGTTTACTTATTCAAATACCACTCAGAATTGTTACTTTTAGACTCTTTTTTTTGACACCGTGCAGACATAAATGTCAAGGCATGAGGCAGACCTAATTCTTACCAGGGGCCTTGAAGTAATTTCAGTGAATTCCTCAGCTGAAAGATGGGCAACTCCTCAGCTAGAAATGTAGAGCCTCAGAATTTGTAAGGGCCTTAATGATCTCTAGTCCAGTCACACAAGTGAAGCTTAAATTTGCTCTGATATATCACAGTCAAATGAGATTAGACCCTTCAGAGTAAGCATGTCAAACTCAAATGCTAACATGTGCCAAATACACAAGGCATGGGGTCCATGGGCCGTGAGTTTGACATGCTTGCTTCAGAGTATCCTCTGCAGAGTTCTAGCTGTTCAAATTCTTGCTTAATGTAAATCCCATGGGTTCCACCCTTAGCTCCAGATTCTCTTAAGGACATATAAAGCAAGTCTGCTCAAATTTATGAGGCTTCAAACTTTTAAAAAAAATATATATTGATTGATTTCAGAGAGGAAGGGAGAGGGAGAGATAGAAACATCAGTGATGAGAAAAAATCATTGATCAACTGCCTCCTACATGCCCCACACTAGGGATCAAGCCTGCAACCTGGGCATGTGCCCAGACCAGGAATTGAACCATGACCTCCTGATTCATATAGGTCAATGCTCAATCACTTAATGGCACTACAGATATTAACTGTGAGACATCACCTAGGTAGGACAGAGTGTCTGAGACACAAGGCACAGAGACGTTGAAACCCCACTGGAGTAGGCATTCTGGGTTCCAGCCCCAGCCCCACCTCTATCATCTGTGACCCTGTTTCTTTGTTCCTAGTTTGCAAACTGCGATGGTTGAATGCATGTTCTCTTCGAGTTCTTTCCAGCTTCACAAATCATTTGCATTTTTTACTTTTCTGTCCCATATGGCAGAGTATCCACAAGGATAGTCAAAGAACCTAGACCCCTGATTTCCAGTTCAGTTCTGTTTATATTGGTTGTCAAGAACCATCCATAGGTACACCGTATAAAGCCAGGGATGCTTCCCCCCCTTTTTTCTCATTTCAGAACACTCTTCTTCAGGAAACCGTGCGGAGAGAGTGTGAAGAACGCTTTGAACTGACGGAGGCGTTGAGTCAGGCCCGAGAACAGCTCCTGGAGCTCAGGAGGCTCAGTGGGAGTTTACCGGTGACCCCGCGGTTCCTGAGCCCCGGCAGCCTGGCCGCCTCCGCCGCCGGTCATCAGGGAGAGAAAAGCCTTGCAAAACCCAACTCTGAAAGGGGCACCAAAATCCCAGGCCTGCACATGGTGCCCAAACCCACCCCTTCTCCAACCTCAGCCCAGGCCAAGAGAGCAAACAGCTCAGGTCTGCCCAGTCTCCTCCAGCCGCATCCTCCCCGGGGCCAGGTATCTTCAGTGAATGACACCAGACGGAGACTGGCCGCCCTGCTGCGGAGGAGACTGAACCAGCGGTGACCGACCTGGAGTCAGGAGCAGACAGATCCACACAGCGTACACGTAGCTGAGGATGACAAAGATCACGTGGCTACCCCAGATAAAGAATGCGTGTCTATAGACATTCTTAGCAAGAGAATTGAAACAAACAAACAAACAAACAAACAAACAAACAAAAACCCCAAGGAGCTGGGAAGCCACATTTTCCAAGAGGCCTTTGAAATTGCAGCAAATAATGAAATTGTTGTGATTCCAGAGGCCGGTTTCTATATTTATGGAAAGTATGTTCAGATGTGCTCTCCAATTTCACCCTCTCAGACATCATCAAATTTTCACCCAGAACATTTTTTCTTTTTTTCTTGTTTTGCACCACTACAAGGCAGAGATATCTCCACACACACACACAAAAAAAAAAAAAAATCGGTTTTGGTAGTTTTATGCTGTTCTTTCACTTGTTTGCTAAGTTGAATAGGTTAAATAGATGTAATTAGTATTCCAAATAGAAAATAAAAGTATGTTAGTCCTTGATTGGATAAATTCCAAAATGCTTAGTTTAAATATTCACAGAGTTCTTCATCATCACCATTATCATCATTATCTTTCCAGCCTAATTGTAACCTAATTTCTTTTAAGAAATGACAGGTAACCTTTAAGAAGACATTCTTCCCTGTGAATCTGGGGATCTTAAAAAAAAGGGGGGGCCCCAAGCAACTCCAATTCAAGGAAAAACTAGTTTACTTTTCAAGCTATAGAGATCAGTTTAGAACATAGAAATCCTGGTAATGAAACAATTGCTCCATAGAGATTTTCTACATTGAATGCTTTTTGGCATCAGAATTAGGCTTTGATTTGAACTTGTATTCTCAAGCCATTGAGAAGAGAACTAATTCAAGGTAGTTTATTAAGGTTCCAATTTTATTACCCCTGAAAATGGGTAATTGGTTAATATGTTTTCTATTTCCAGAGTGAAAATTTAAACCAGAAACAAGACAAGCTATTTTAAGTTATCCTAAACCTCCAGGGTCTACCTACTTCTAAAAACACAACTCTTTATTTTAAGCTAGTGTTCATCTATCTTTTTCTCCATCTAATACAAATTAGATGGAGACTTGTTTTACTTAAATCCTCAATCAGACTGCATCATGGATATTCAGGCTTCTTACTCCCAGGTTAGAATGGTATATGACGTGTGAATATGGCAGGCAAAACCCTCTGGTATTTGGCTATCATGTTGATAGGATTTCATGTTGATAGGGGCACTTGAAATCCCTTCCCTGAGCTAAAAAGCAAAAGTTACTAAGCAAAATCAAGTTTACCTCCAACCTTTCAAAGATTGGTCTAATTTACCAGTGGTAGATTTGTTTGTTTGTTTTAACCTCAAAGAAAGCTCTACATTAGGTCCTCTTCTTTCCCTGCCCAGTTTAAATGAGCACATTCTGTGTTAAAGCTTAGAATGCTTATTTTTGTTGTACAGAGATTGTGTTCCCTATAATGGCATTTGACAAGAGAATGTAGCGTCATAGAACAGTGGAGCTGAGTGGGCCTTGGATGCCCAAAGAGGTCTGTCTTGTCAGCTAGTTAGTTACAGAACCACTGTTACCTGACCCCAGCCTTCCCACCTCACTTTTCCACTCTCCAGAGATTCCCTGGACTCCATCATGACTTTTGTCAGAGACACCTACACTGAATTTACCTAATTTTTCTTTAAATGAATTCACATTTTAAACTTTAAATGTATGTAAAAAAAAAAGAAGCATGACCAGAGGAAGAATAACTTTAATGAGGTTGACTTGCTAGTTAAGTTTTTTTTTCTAATATGCTTAAAACAAATGTGTATCTATTAAACTACTAAATATTCATTGGTATACCTTTAAAATTGCCTTGTATAATGTCAGCAGTAGTCATGTCAATTCTGGAGACTACTGCGCTAAACTTCAATGTTTCTGATCCGGTGTCTGTTTTTATTGAAAATGCTCATCATTAAGGGAAATGGCAAGAGCTAGTGAAAGCTTTAGCCAAAGCATAAGAGAATATTTGGACAATTTGTTATTCAATTAGATATGCTCTTTCAATTGTGCAATTGTAGCTCTCTCTTCAGGAACCATAAGGATAGATACACTTTCCTAAATTATGATTATATTTAAATTTGTAAATAAAGACACATGTAAGCTTTTCTAAAGTGATGTAAAAACTATCAGTGTGAAACCTGGTTTCTTGGTTTGTTGTTATTGTACACGCTTGCTTTTACAATGAGTAATTCTGTAAATAATTGTTGAGAAACATCATGATCTGAAGTAAGTAAGGCTCTGTTATATTCCACAAGTGTATCAGAGAGGTAATTCTATGATAGAGAGACAAGATTTACATTTATTTCAGCCTAGATGATTTGAATGGTACAGTCTAAACTGTGTTTATACCTTTTAAAGAAAGACACTTAAAGAAACAAGAGAAACATTAGAGTATGTAAACTGGGGGTTAGGAGCACATTCAAATTTTCCTTAATTTTCTCATCATGATGAACAAAATCCAATCATGAAACAGTATCATCAATGCTAAGAAAGTAGTGATTATGGAAAAATAAGGCTCTCAAACGCATATAATGTAAGTCTGAAAGTTTTAATTTTTCTATAGACATGCATTTTCCATGACCTCAAAGGAAGGATTTATAGATGTCAAAAATGAATATTATAGAAAATATTTATTAGAGAAGTGTAACCCTAATATTGTTGGGCAAAGATGGGAGAGCTCTATAGTTAACGGATTTTTCAAACAATTTTTAAAAGTCTTGAATTAAATTACTATATTTATAGTTGGTCAAAACTGCTTTAAAGTTATATTTTCAGGCAATGAAATTGACTAGAAGACATTAAATTTTGTTAGACTAAGATTTTTTATTATTTTTCAATGACTTTACATGTCCTTTTCACTAATTCCTTTTTTTTTTTTTTAACACAGATCAACTTAAAGTAGTTTAGTAAGACAGACTTGTGAATTACACATTTCCTGCAATTCTATTTTTAGTCATTACTGAGAACTAGTGCCACTTTAACAAGAAGTCGGTGGAAGAAATCAAAAGTCTTTTAGCAGCAAATAAAACTATACTCCAATATTGAAGAGAAAATATTGTATTTTACATTTTTGGGAGCAAAGCTGGTAAATGATTAGCTTGTTGCTCAGATGTGAAACAATGTTCAGATTCATAGGTTTCCACATCCACCATTATCTACTTTTTTTTTTTCCACTTTGTAAGTAACTTTGAATTACTTAAATGTTATTTTTCAACTAGAGGCTCAGTGCATGAAATTTGTGCATGAGGGATTAGGAGGGGAGCTCTCAGGGGATATCCAACTGCAATCAGAACCTCTGGCTCCTAACTACTCACCTGCCTGCCTGCCCTAATCACTCTGCCTTCCTGCCTGATCCCCCCTAACTGCCCTCCCCTGCCAGCCTGGTCACCCCTATTAACTTTTTTTTTTTTTAATTTTATTCCCTTCACACACAATTGTATTTTATTTCCTTATAGGCTGCTCCCTCTCACACAATTTTTCTCTCTCCTTTATGTAACACTTTTTCCTACTGACTCATCATTTATAAACTTTTCTTTCCTCCTTATTTCCTACTTCTGTTCCATCATCCTTCTTTCCATCTTTCTCCTATCTGCCCTCCCTCCCCACATTTTTTCCTTTATCTTTACCCCTGCCCTCCCTCTCCCTTTCCTTCCTTCCCACCTTAATTGTTTTCTTCACTTCCTCCCTCGGACTTGCTTTGCTTCCTCCCCCATTTCTTTCTTCTTCCCATTCTTTTAAGCTCTACCGGCTACCCTTTAAAACTTCTTTCTCTCTTATCCTTCCTTTCCCCTACATTCTTCTCTACTTACTTCTACTGTTTTAATATCTATCTGCCTGCCTAATTATTCACTGTCATATTTTCTCTTTTCTAACTCCTACTTTTAAAATATGTCCCCAGCCGAAACCGGATTGGCTCAGTGGATAGAGCATCAGCCTGCGGACTGAGGGGTCCCGGATTCGATTCCGGTCAAGGGTATGTACCTTGGTTGTGGGCACATCCCCAGTAGGGGGTGTGCAAAAGGCAGCTGATTGATGATTCTCTCTAATCGATGTTTCTAACTCTCTATCCCTCTCTCTTCCTCTCTATAAAAAATCAATAAAATATATTTTAATAAATAAATAAATAAATAAAATCTGTCCCCAGTACACAACTATATTTGATTTTCATTATAGCTCCTACAGTTCACAAATACATCTTTCCTTCTTTAACTCTGCTCTCTACTGAATCCTTTATAATGTTCTTCCCTCTCTCCCTCCCCCCATTTTTTTTTCTCCCTCCCTTTTTAAAGCTTTGTTTAGGGGGTTGTGCATTAACCCCCAGCCCAGGGCTCAGCCCTGGCCAGGTGTTTGTTTCTAACCCCCCCCCTTCCCCAGCCTCCCCACTACCATCTTGCTCCCATTCCCTGACCAGAACACCCAACCCAATGAGGGTGGCTGAGGCCCACATGGCCCAGGCTCGGCTGCTGCTTCGAAGCAGGAGCTTCTTCACCCAGAAGGCCTCGAACCATCCACCACTCTGTCCCAGACCTGTAGGCGCCTCCCTGCTAATTCCCTGACCCTCGACAGGTGCAACTGCTCACCACCACCCCCCCACAGTTGCCACCCCCTCCAGCATGCCACCTCACATTTCCTTTCCTTTTCCATTCCTGCAGCTTTTTCTTATTCCCTTTCTGTATTTCTGTCTGTATGCAGTCTTGCCTTCCTCTCACTCTCCTTTCTTATCCCCTCCTATCATATCCTATCCTACCCCGGGCCTTGCAGAGGGAGGGGACACAGCCTGCTGATCCAGTTGTGACATGATGCTGTAACAGATAATTTGCATATTTGTCTATATTAGTATAGATTATGGTTGACATTCAATGCTATTTTGTATTAGTTTCAGGTATACAGCATAGTGGTTAGACAGTCATATACTTTACTAAGTGGTCCCCCCAAAATTTCTGCTACCCACCA